ACTGGAACCAGTCTCCTCTGACATCAAATATGTTTATTTTTCCCTCTTCTTCCCTTCCCCCTGCCTGCCACCACTAACGGTGATTTCTACCCTGGTTTGCCCCCCAAAAGCCCTCACTCAGCTCGACACAGGGCTGTGATAAATGCCTGGCTGTGCTCCCTGTTCAACGGCCTTGAAGGATGTGGTCGGTTGTTCCGTGAGCAAGGAGCCTTGTCAGACCCGTGAATCAGCCCTCGATCACTTCCCTCCCTAGAGTAGAAACCGTTCCTGTGCTTGTGCATGTGTAAGAGAGAGAGACAGAGAGAGCAGGCAAGAGTGCTAACCCACGTGTGGTGCTGACCTTGGGGATCCTATTTGACCTTACCCTTACCCAGAGCAAACTTTCCTTCTCTCCTAACCTCTGTTCCTTCCCAGCTTACCAGGAATCCACCACCAGATCCCAGTGCTTAGCTCCAGGAGCCCCTCCAGGTTGGAACAGCTGCTCTGTGTTTATCTGTTCCTCTTGCAGGTTGGGTGTTTTCCATGGGGCGTGGAGCCCACTTCCCCAACAGACTGTGAACGGCTGGGCCGTCCTTTTTGCCTCAATCTTTCCTTTTCTCTCAGATTCACCAATTGGGTCGGAAATCACCTGCAGTGCTTTGGTGATCAGGAACAGCAGATGGCAACAAGCATATGGTGCATACCCATGGTGGGGTCAGGCACTTGGTAGATGCTTTACCCAAAATTAACTCAGGCCAGGTTCCCAAAAGCCTTGTGAAGTTACAGGTGAGGAAACTGAGGCTCAGAGTGACAGCCCAAGGTCACACAGCTAGGAAGTGGTAGAGGCAGGATTTGAGCATGATCTGCCCAGCACCACACTCATTCCATAATGGACTGGCCCTGAAGAAGGCCCTTGTCAGGCCGTGGCTGCACATTCTAATTCCTGTGGGACTGGAGTCACAATCTAAGGGCTGAGAAAAAAAGAACGGCAGAGAAATGAATGAGTTTGGGGCCAATTCCTAAGCATGTAGCTCCCAGGACCAAGACTAAAATCTGAGATGATCTCAACAGAGGAAGAATGTCTTATTTCCACCGGGTCAACCCTTAACTTATTACCCCAAGCACAACTGGAGACCAGATGCCAGCCTGAAGTTGCTCAACTCCCCCTGCCTCACAGTGACCCTCCTGCATTGCCCACCACGAACTCACCTGCATGACACATGATAGATGTCTACACAGTGAGGCCGTCCTAAATACCAGCCTGCACTGCTCTGTCACCATTGTACAGGGCTGAGCCTGGCCTTCCTGCCCAGATTTTAATTGAGCAGAAGGGCCCCACCTTATATCCACATCCTCCTTTGGAGCTAACCTGACTGGATTGCCCCAGATCTGCCCTGTGCAAACTGTGAGACCCTAAGCAAGCTGATGAATTGCTCCAAGTCTCAGTTCATCTGTAAAATGGAATCCAACAACCTACCCCACATTAGGGTACATTCAATGACCTGCAGGAATCACAGGAAAACACCATGTTGCTATTTGCATTCCCTAAAGAGTCCTGCAGAGAATCAGAACATTCATGATTGGTATTTGCCTGAAATAAATCAGGAAATAAAAGAACCGTGAAAGTGCCATATTCCCAAATCCAAATAGATATAATTTCTTATTTGTTTTAGATAGTTTGTTTTAGATAAATGAGCTTTACTCCACCACCGTATGAATTGATATATACCTATACCTGCCTGTGAGCACAAAGAATCAGGTGGACCTGAACTCAAATCTTTACTGGAAAACTTTCAAATGAAGGAATCTGCATTCTATATCCAGCATCATCAGGACCATTTTTAAGACAAGCGTCAGAGGCCAAAGCCAGTTTACCTAGGATCTCCCCAGCACAGCTCAGAAAGCCAGGAAAGGAGCCTAGGTTCAGGCCAGGGAACCTGATCTAAGTAGCAGCTGCCTGCCCCTCTCAACCCCACCCCAAGCAGGGGCTGGGCAGAGAGGAAGGAAGCCAGGGCTGACAGTGCCATCCACATGATGGAGGCTACTTGCATGCCTTCATGAACGGACCGAAAGCACAGGATCCTTCGTGTCCAGGCAGCTCCCCCTCCCCATGGGGATGAGCGAACCCTTTGCAGGATGTCCTGAGAGAACCTTTGCAGTGTGTTCCCAGCATTCTGGAGCCAGCTGAGCTCCTCCTGCATGGGCCCCAGGACTCTCATCAGCTAGCTCTGGCTAACATGCACATCCCGTAAAACCTCTCTGCTCTGCAATTTACCAAACCACAGACTCAGAATTCACCATCAGCAGAGAGAGGCTGAAGGAGACGTGCTCCTCCAGTGTAGAGGGTTTCCAGAACATAGGCAAAGGGGGCAGCATGTCCTGCCAGCTGACCACACCAGAGGCCTTACCCAGAACACTCGAGCTTCTGGTGTGTGGTATCCACTGTGCAAGGGCCAGGAGAGGAAGAGGCCACAGCCTCCCCCAACCTGCTCCTCCTGCCTCTGTCTGTCCCACCAGGCCCTTTCTATTGCTTTCTTTCCCCTTTCTATTATTGGAGATGCTTATGTTATATATTAATATATATACAATTCCCCAAATGGGTAGAAACTTTTCCACCACCAGATATTTGTCCCCTTATTCAACCCCAACCAGACATAGGATACATGCAATGAAAAAAAACCACAGAGAAGGCAAAAGGCCAGTTAGACCGAGGTGCTGTGAATAGCTGTGTTGCAAGTCACTTTACCCAATCTGGCTCTCCATTTCCTCATCTGTAAAATGAAGGAGTTGAGCCAGATGAGTCTTCGGGTCTCTGCCCATTCCACCGTTCCACAACATACAACACTTTCTCCTTTCAGTGTTTTCCAGAACCCTAGTTCAGAACTCTGTATGGCCCCATCTGTTCAGTGACATCACTCCCTGCCCCAAACATAATGTCATCAATTCTTACTCGGGAAGCGGAGATGGCCCGGGAAACACTTTGTCTGTAAAACGGGAGGAAATGATCGTTGCGAGGAAACTGCACAGGACTTCTTTTGTGTTTTTCACATAGAACAAGTTATTATCAATCTTAAAACCCAAACTCTTTCTTCCTTTTTTGCCAGACCATTAATAGCTGCTTTTCAAAAATACTTTCTTAGTCAGTATCTCACCAATAATAAGCTACCATTTAATAAGTGCTTACTGTGTGCCAGGAACTGGGCTAAGTGCTCTACATAGATGATCTCATTTAATTCTTCCAACAGCCCTAGGAAGTACATACTATTATTATCCTTACTTGAAATTGAGTAAACTGAGGCCCAGGGAGGTTTAAATAACTTGCCCAAGATTGCACAGCTAGTTAGTGGTCGCGCCAGGCTTTCAGCAAGACCATCTAACTCCAGAGCCCCAGCACGTAACCTTATCTTTCAAAATTGCCTGCAGTGGGTCCAGGTTCTAGTTTGTTACAGGTGTGTCCCGCATCTGCAACCTTGGGCACCACTGGTGGGAACTGAAATGTGATGTTTCATCTAAAATCCAGAGTTGGAAATGCGCCTGCTTGGGTCTCAGAGCAGAGAGTGCCATCTGTTGAATGCAGTGCCAAGCTCAACCGAAGACTAAAACTGAGAATCCTTAAAACTTAGCCTGCAATATTTGAGAAAAATAAACTCCAGTATGTACAAACGGACATCTGTCCACAGAGCCGGTTGACCACCTGGTGCTGGTGACCCAAGCCCTCCAAAAAGAGCTTTCTTGTAACAGCAGCGTAAGATGCTTGCTTGACCAGATGACACAAAAGAAACAACTCTCTAAGGGTGTCACAGACTGTTCCCAACAGGCACCCACCTCCCTGCCTGGTCAGCAACCTGCCTCCACATTTACCTCCTCCCCATCTGAGCCCCGCCACATTTGCTCAGCGATAAAAAACCCAAAGTTCAGAGCCACTGGTGACAAAGGCAGAAAGAGTAGCCTGAGGCTGACATTGCCACAGTCCCCAGTCCCTTTGTAACAGTGGAATAAAAGGCACTTCAGAGATCAATGGGCAATCCAGGGCAGCAACCAGCAGCCTGTTTTAACTGTTAACATTAATGCTTTGAGCATTGGAACTGCTCTTCTAAATACCTAACTTGCAAATAACACGCAGTCCTCTGTGCTTGGGTCTCTTCTATCTCAAGTACAGGAGCACAGACGCTCTGAGGGGTCAAGGACACCGTGTTTACTTCCTGAGGTGTGAGGGATGGGAAGGCAGGACCAGCTGAGATGAAAAGGGACTGTCGCATAGGCTCTGGAGCTGGCCCAGTCAACCTTAACCCCTTCTCATTAAGCTTGGGGGAGGAAGGGGGAGGGGCAGTCGGCGGTTCCTCGGAGACCACAGCAAACATTTGCCTCCTCGTGTCTGGAGATGGAGCATCACTTAAGAGGAAATGAACCCGGTTAAGGGTCACATCCAGAGGAGGAATAAAAGGAAAAGCCACAGTTCTCCTCACACCGACGGACACAATGGCTTTAAGAGGGAAATCAAAGCTCAGCACAGAGGGTGGAGGTTGGGCTGGGGGGCGTTGGCTCCTTCTGCCCCCAGCCCCAGGCCTAGGAAGACAGAAGCAGAGCTGGCGTGGGAGGCAGGGCGAGAGGCTTCCCTCCCCAGGGCAAGCTCTGAAAGCATCTCGGGCTGTGTGAGCGTGAGCGCCCAGGGCCCCGGGGAGGGCCGAGGAGATGCGCTTTCCCCACGGGGCTGCTCTGCCAGGGGTTGACGGAAGCTCCCCCCACCATCCATCAAAGGCGGACAGATGACTTCACCGTTGTAACAGACAAGGGCAGCCACTTGCCAATTCCAATGCCAAAAAAAGAAACCGGGGAAGGGGAAGGAGGAAGCACAGAAGAGGCTTCCCTGGAGATCACAGCCCTGCGAAGAAACTCCAAGGCCGCGGGCTACCCTGTGGGCGCTTAGCTCCTGGACCTCATGGCGGGGAGGAGAGAGGGGCCTCCTGGGGCCCTCCCGGGACCTGGGGCCACCCCGCAGAGTCGGCGGAGACTGTACTCACATAGTGCTTGGAGGGGTTCCTCCGCTTCTCCACGTCCACCACCGTGGCATCCTGCACGCAGTAGGCGAGCATCTTCCCCCACAAAGCGAGTGGCGCCCCCGGCGGCGTCACCTTCTCATCCCGGCTGGGCTCCGGCTCCTTCTCCAGCTGCCCGGGTCCCGGGGCCGCCCGCCACCCCGGCCCGGCGCGCCGACCGCTGCCCGGACTCCCGGCGTCCACAGGTTCGGTGCCGGGGACGGGGGAGGGTCCCGCAGGGCGCGCGGGCTCCGTGCGCCCAGGGCAGCTCCCCGCCGGCCTGCCGCGCGCCCCTTCCCTCCCGCGCGGCCGCCGCGCTCCGCTCACCCGCTCGCTCTCTCCGCAGCCCGGTGGGTCCGGCGGGAACAGGCGGAGCAGAGGAGGGGCGGGGGTGTGTCCCGCCGGCGAGGGGACTGGGCGGGTGCCCGGAGCCTGCTGTCAGCTCACTGGGGAGGGGCCGGCGGCGCCCCTTCGCCGCTCTCCGGCTCGGGCTCTGGGGGGATCGGCGCTGGCGGAGGCTGTGGGCGCAGGAGGCGGAGGCAGGGCCTGCCTGGCAGGGAAGGGAAGGGAGGGAGGGGAGCGAGGGGAAGCGCGCGGGGAGGGGCTCCGGGCCGGGGGAGGGGCTCGGGACGACGAGGAGGGGGCGGCAGCCCGGCCCGAGTGGCAGGGGCGGGCCGACGAGACCCCCACCGGAGCCCAGCGCGCAGCCAGCGGCCTGGCGCGGCGCTGGGCTAGTTCGCCGGGCACAAAAACTCAGGGTGGCTTCGGGGGGAGAAGGAACGGGGAAAGTGAGCCCAGCCCGCCCCCAGCCCGGCTTTCTGCCTCGAAGCGGATTTGTGCCTTTTTGTCCCCACCTTTATGTTCCCCTACCACTTCCACCCCCAGATCTCTTTAATGAGAAGTAGTTTATTACCCGGCTGTTACTGCCCAGGCCCCCGAGGAGGAGATGGGAATGGGGAATGGGCCAGCTTTAAATTCTTCAAGCCAGAGCCTGTTTGGACGAACCACCTGAGCCCCTGGAGGACATAAAGGGTGAACTCTCCCCGGAAATGTGATCGATTCGTTGCCTGAGTCGTCCATCGATCTGGGCTTGTGTAACAAACCTGTGACATCATTTACCAATGACAAAGTTACAAACTCTGCATAACACCACTGCCTTAAGTCTCAGGCTCCCCTGGGGACCCTCCCCAGGCTAGCGACAGGGAAGGCCGCATACAAAGGCAGGAACACCCACCGGCTGGAGGCCAGCTCACCGTGAGCCTCAGGCTCTGGCTCACCCCTCCCTCTAATCTGGAAAACCCACTTTCCGAGCCATTTGTCCGTGGTCCCTGGACTTGGAGCACAGCTACTAAATTCAATTTAGCTTCACCCCCTTCTAGTTCAACATTTCTTTTCCATTCTGCTTTCAAATATTTAAAGGGGTAGTGTTTTCACAACTAATCCAGTTGTTTCACAATCACAATAAAGCTTCGTGACTGTGGACCAATGTGAAACATCTGAAATGAGGACAAATAATTTTATGACCTAATTGCATTAATACTTTCCTCTGTGGGCTCTCTAGACTGTCAGAAACCAAGCACGGATCTAAGGTCTTATTTATTCACACATTTGCTCCGTATAGAGCACCCCACTATTCCTCCAGCCTCTCTGGGGAAGGACGCTAGGACACCAAACCATGGCAGAGGACAAAGGAAAAAAAAGAAAAAAAGATGGATGGGCCTGGCGGGGGGCAGACTGTGAGAGATCTTGGCACCAGGCACAGAGCTTCTTAGAGAGGATCGAAAGCGGTTGTGAACGTTGGAGCAGGAGTCCTGGGGGAAGGTGCACCTGGTAATGTTGCTCAGTTGATGGGAAAATGGGGGCACAGGGCACTACCTCCACGAGAAAGGCTTACTTCCCAAAAGGATGAGGGGTAGACCCAGAACAGGCCCTCGGCTCTGAGCTGTAGAACCTGGGAGGGTGCTGGCCAGCTCCAGGTCCTCTCTGATAATGGATCAAGACAGCCCACGAGTTTGGGATGAAGAAATTCATCATCGCTCTCACGTAACTCATCTTCTGTGGATGGCAAAGTCTTCTGGAAGAGCTAATAAAGCCTGAGAAGCCACGGGTGAGGGGAGCTGGTGTTTAGCTGTTGTGGCAGGAAGAAGAGGAGGGGGTTTAGCCAGACGTGGGTCCCCTTGTGAATCAAAGCAGTCCGCTCACCTAAAACAGCACTAGTCGTTTCCCTATTACCCTTCTTCTGGACCCAGATCCACAATGAACACACCAAGCACAAGAAATTTGTAGGAGAAATGGCCCAATGCTTCCCCACTGTCCTAGCTGCCTACAAGGTGGTAGCCTTTTTACTGCCTCAAAAACTCCCTGCAACTTGACATCTTATAAATTCAAGCCTTTAAACTCAACTTGAGCATACTCCGAACTTCTCCCTTTGTTCCCAAATTACCTTAATTGGAGGGAGCAACTGAGTGTGCCCCCCAAACACCATGGTGCCAAGATCTGGGCAGAAGTTACTTCTACCTATGGTAGAAAATTTTCTTTCCTGTACGGGGGCCGTATGTCCAAGAGGCTTTAAGTATGAAATGGTGCAAGCTATCCCTTCTCTGGGTACATTTCAACCACATGCAGATTTATTTCCCACAGTGCCTTGGGAATTCCTTTCTGTTCAATACACGTTTATTGAATGCCTCACATGTGCCTGGCAATCCCCCCAAAATGACGGAGACTTGGGTGTGTTTCCTTGGAAACAGGGACTGTTCATCATTCATTAAACACCCTATGTGTGGCACACAGTAGGTATATAGGATGGACTCTGTTGAAATCTGCGCAAAGAGCTAGTGCTAGAGACGATTAGGTAAACCCCTATTTTGCCACCTCCACCCATGAACTGGGGATCACTCCAACCCAAGGATATTGTGTGAGTTTAAAATGACAAAATATAATTGCAAAAAATTCTTTTATTTTTTATTCCACTTTAGGTTCTGGGGAACATGTGCCGATCATGCAGGATTGTTGCATAGGTATATACATGGCAATATGGTTTGCTGCCTCCATCCCCTCCATCACCTATATCTGGCATTTGTCCCCATGTTATCCCTCCCCAACCTCCTCACCCCCGCAAAAAAAAAACTTAAGTTTAGGATAAGCAAGAGAAAAAGAAGCCACATGAAATGCAAAATGATACCTGAAAATCTGATTTTTCAAAAACAGGTTAATTGTAGAATGCTTAAAGTCAAAGAATTTTCCAACTAGAAGGAACAAGAGAGGTTATTTATTCCTCTTATTTTATAGAGGAACAAACCAGGGCCAAGAAAAATGAAGCAAGTTGCTTGATGCCACATAGCCAGTTAGTCCCAGACCGGCTGTCTTTCCCGTCTATCATGTTTATGTGCCTACATACGGGCAAGAAGAGCTCGTTTAGAGAGCACACTTAGCACACCTGCAGATCTGGAATGCTGCACTCACTCAAACCCTGGAGTCCCTGCTTCCAGTTGTCCATTCACACAAGCATCACACATTGCCTGAAATTCCCAATAAAAGGGACTGTACACTCCTCTAGAGCAGAGGCCATGTGTGTCTCCATGGCCCTCTGTGTACATGCAAATACCATCAGCTCCCCTAAAGCAGAGCCCACCCTACCTCCTCTCCCATGTAAGGTCTTCGTGACTACCCCAAAGAAGACAACATACAGGAAAGTACTGGAAACCAGTGCACGCTATGAAAGCACAGTATAACTTTCTCTTCAGAAATTGAATGACAATTGTTAATCATACATTTGTTTCCCAATCATACAACACCCTACGAGAGCTCAGCCTTCACTGTATTGAAATTTGTTGATATCTTTTATGTTATTTAACTTTCCTGTGCTTTAGGTGGTAACTTCTAAACCAGTAAGAAGCCTCTAAAGGCCTTGAGGCCCATGAACTTGGACTTGAACACCACCCTTTCCCTCCCCATCCCCGCCATCCAGCACCTCCACCGCCTGCCACACACACCTGCCCACCTAGCGTGGAGCTTTATGCATGCCAGGCCCTCAATACATAGTTGTCTTTTTAAATTACTGGGATCTCAGCAGATATTTGTGGTTACTGCTGGGGCTAAGTGATGCCTAAGAAGAACTGGAGGACAGTCTCGGAGCAGGACTTACCTACCTGGGTTCTGGTCCTGGCTCAACCACAAACCAGCGTGTGACCTTGAAGTTCTTTCCCATGTCGGTGTCTCTGGTGCTCTTTCTGATCCTTTCCATGCTCTACGATGGTGGATAATTTACATAAACTGAGGTCCAGCCAGACTTTTACCCAGAGTTGTGTAAATTTGAGTGAAATTTGGGGCCCCCTTCTGGCCAAAATGGTTTTAGCACTTCTAACTCCTGTCACTGGCCAAAGCTATCGCAGACCTCTGGCAGGGACAGGCAGGAGGTAACTGCCATTCTACAGAAGGTAAGCCGTCCAATGCTCAGCTTCTCTCTCTGCTTCTCCTCCTCCTCCTTTTTCTTCTTCCCCTGCCCCCTCTCTCTTTCTCTCTCAAATCAGCCCTGATATATTTATTTATTGACTTACATTTGGGGAGTGTCTTGAGGATAGTCCCTCCTCCTGAATACGGAGCAGACAGCAAGGCCAACTGCCCAGGGAAGTAAATTGCTTGCCAGGCTTCTCCTCTCCTTGCTGGGGAACGGGACCAGGATATGGGCCCAGAACTGCCCCACTGCCCAGCCCCACTGTTCACAAATTCTAGCCATACTAACAGGCCCCTCCTGTTGCCAAACCACCAGATGGTGGAAGCCACCTCTGTCTGACACCTAGCATCGTAAGTTCATTAGCGAAATCTCAACATGCTTCTTTACACTGTCCCTTGAGAGTCTCAGCCTCCTGTCTTAGCCTGGATTCCACTGAGGGTTCATGTACAGCAGAAGGTTTTGATAGAACCACTTGAAATTCCAGCCTTAGCAAGTGATCATGCTCCTGGAATACCAAAAGGGGAATCTGGGAACCTGCACAGCCATAATTAGATTCACAGAGGAAAACAGTATTATTCCATAACTCCAGGCTGCCTCCCTAATCCTGACCAGACATCTGGCCCTCAAACTAGTGCATTGCGTTTTAAGACCCTCAGGAATGAGGGTGGATGGTTTCATACCACCTATCTCAACGACTGAACACACCTTGAAGTGTATTACTCCTGGCTGGGAGGGGGTTGCCAGCATCATCTGGGTATAAAAGATCATCCAATATAGTTCCATTTTAGTGATAAACCACCACAGATTTTCTTTTTCAAAATCCCCC